GCCCGGCTGGAATCCTTCGGGGCGGAAACCGAAGGCTCGCGCCGCTGACGCCGGGTTGGGGGGGTCTCCGTCCTCGGACTGCGGGGGGCCACGCGCAGAGCGGAAGTGGGCCCTGGGGACAAGGGGGCGGACCGGAAGTGGGGCTCAGCCAGGTCTCTCTCTCTTTCTCTCTCTCTCTCTCAATAAACCCAGCATTCTGAATGGGAAGGACACCTTATTTATGCTTTGAGTAGGTGAAGGTCCCTAAGCGGATGCTGGAGGATAGTGGTGAGGAAGGGGCCCTGCCACATGGGCTCGAGGGGCCTCACATCTCTTTCCCTCCTTATGTGGAAAGACCTGAGCTAAGGAATGTTAACTTTTTTGGACTACAACTCCCAGCATGGGCAGGTTAACTTTTTTTTGGACTACAACTCCCAAGATGGGCAGGTTAAGGTTTTTTTGGACTACAACTCCCAGCATGGGCAGGTTAACTTTTTTGGGACTACAACTCCCAGCATGGGCAAGTTAAGTTTTTTTTTTTGGGACCACAGCTCCCAGAATGTGGAATTCTGGGAGTTGTAGTCCAAAAAAAGTTTACCTCCTCATCTTGTGGGAAAAACATCCTGTTGGTCTGGCAGACCCTGGCTTCCTCCAAAGCATGCCTGAACATTGTACTGTAGTAATACACTCGATTCCTCAGATAGCTGTTCCAGGTCCAAATTGCTGCCACGTTTTCAGTACAGTACGGCTGCAGCATCCATGGGGGACGGGATCCAAGCCTCCCTCCCTGCGGACGCTGAAAAACGTGGAAATAACAAACTATATACATAGTATGGTCTCTGGCTCCCTCCCGTGGCTTATTTTGGTAATTACATTATGAAAAATACATTGTGTTTTTTAATTTAATATTTTCAGGCAGTGGATAAGTGAATCCGCAGATGCTGATGCATCAGATGGGGGGATTTTTCCTACTCTATTATCATTGCTGGGCAGGAAACAATCTAGCCCCACCCCTTGCCAATGAGGTATTCCTGACAGGTTATATTCCCACAATCACGGATTTGTCATAGATCTGGGTACAGACTATGGTGGAGGTTTCAGCATGGGCAGAGGAAGCGGGATCTGTAAAGCTGGCAAGGGCTTGGCTTTAAAAGGTCATTTTCATTAATGAAGGAAGGTGCCCGCCAGACCCTGAAATAGCGCTGGGAGCTGGTTTTAGATCGATAATGAATTCCATTTAGGACCAAGATTTGGACAGGATGCCAAGATTGGAGATGAGAGAGAGATAAGATAGTGTTTCTCCCCCTCCCTCCCACCCCTCCTTAGTGGCAGCAACTGCAAAAGAGACACTGATGCCAGAGCCAAGATCATGAGCAGCTATTAAGAAGCTTCAGTTCCTGGAAACAACACAGGTCACTAAAGGTAAGAGTAATTAAGAGCTGGATGAAAAAAGCTACCACTGAGAAAGGCTAGGTTTTAATATTTTCTTTTTGATGTCTTCTGGCACCGATATCATAGAGTAATAAGGCAATGCTTACTCATAACAGAGTGCAGTAGGATCCCCTTATTCGTGTGATCAGTATCCACAGATTCACTTAGCTACAGTCTGAAAGTATGAAAAATATTAAAAGGAAAATCCTAGAAATATGTACAGTATTTCTAGAGAGGAAGCTACCAGAACTGGTCACTAGAGGGAGCCAGAGACCATGAAATGTGTAGTTCGGTTCAGTAGACTAGAGAAATGTACAGTTGTACAGTACTTCCACGATTTCATTACCAGAACTGGTCACTACAGGGAGCCAGAGAGCAGGATATGTCTAGGGTTTGCTATTAAAACCATGTTTGTTATAATTCATATTTTTCAGCATCCGTGGGGAGGGGGGCTTGATATTTATTCCCTACGGATTAGGAGGGTCCTAGTGTACCTCCTACTGTATTCAGAAATGGTGCTCCCTCTGCATTCAAGGGTATTCCTGTATGTACACTATCTCATTTGCAGCAAACCGAAATTTATCTGCTTCCCAGCACCTGACCCATGGCTTTGAAAGGCCATGTTTGTCCAACCCCTTGAGGATGATGGTGCTGTACAGTTGTAAGATCTAGTTTAATTTTTTTTTAACAAGACCCAAGATCCACTGCTAGGCAGAGCTGGGTACAAATGCATGTAGAATTTAAAATATATGAACCCAAGAATTTAGTTTTGAATGAAGAAGATTGGAGTGAAGCTCACAGATTTATTGCCCCCAAATCCATTCCTGGTGGGCTTTTTTAAAATTTCATTTAGCTGGGAATTGGAAATGCTTGCCAACTTATTGCAAATCATTCGGGGGATCTACCTTCTGCCCAGTCCTGCTATGAATGAGTTTATGTATTAAACAAATAGGAATCCTGATTAAATTGTGCATTGCAGGTCAGCATTCTAAAAAAAAACAAACACAAAACCATATACATGATCCATGTTCGAGACCATCCTTGATTTTAACCCTCGCCCCTCCCCAGTCTCCTGTAGGCTCAACAGGAAGCAATGCTTACTTTTGGGCATGCGTAATTGCTGTTGTTATAGGCTGTCAAGTCTCCTCTGACTTAAGCTGACCCTATGAATGAGCAATGTCAAAAATGGCATGTTTTCCACTGCCCGGCTCAGGTCTTGCAAATTCAAGCCTCTGGCTTCCTTTAGGGAGTTGATCCATTTCATATTGGGTCTTCCTCTTTTCCTGCTCCCTTTCCACCTATCGCAGCATGATGGTCTTTTCCAGAGAATCCTGTCTTCTCAGAAGGTGCCCAAACAAGGACAGTTAAGGTTTCAATATTTTTGCCTCCAGAGAGTGTTCAGGATTGATCTGTAATTATTAGAGAAAAATAGCAGACCCCATTTTTTTCAAAGGACCCTCTCCCCAAAAGTTACTCATTCAGGAACAATGTGCTGCCCGATCATCTCTCATAAAACTGTCATCTCCTGAGAACAGGTTGCAGACCAAGGCCCAAGAATGGATGATTTTCAGCCTGGTGGGATCCAGGAGGAGTAAACCGTTTTTCTCTTTCTACCAGTATCCAGGATGCCACACATTGATAACGACATCAAGTTAGACTTCAAGGATGTCCTCCTGAGGCCCAAACGGAGTACTCTCAAATCCCGCAATGAGGTGAGAACACACCTTGGGAGTCTTTCCGCAGGCTGGAGGCGACGGCTGAGGCCGGTCGTAACCCAGCGAATAGGCCCAAGGCTTTGTCATGAGGCATCGGGTGACCCTCCAAGCTTTGGACTTGCCGGTTGGAAATGAAAAAGATGTATAAAAAGGGAGGGAAGCTGGCCCCTTTATCTTAATTAACCTTAATTAATTTTGAAGTGGCAGGACCTTGGGTTTCACCTTGCTAGGGGTGGAAGGGAGCCAACATGATCTACCAGTCACAGACCACCTTGATCCTGGATTTTCCATCTTTCGGAAATGTCTACTACTCAGTTTGGTCCTAACCGCTCTGTCTAGCAGAAGCCATTCCTCCTCTTGGGATGGCCTCAGCATGGTCTTTCCTAGCAGGCATCTCCAAAACAAGGAATACCTGAAGGTTAAGAGCCGTCCCAATGTTTTGAAGGGCTTCCCAGTCGTGGAACACAGCGAGCGGTTTAGTTTAAAGGCAGGGCAAAAGGTTGGGAGGACCAGCCTTTCATGTCTTCACTTCCCAGGTGTGTGTGTGGGGGGGACCCAGGCCCCGGCTGGACCAGCACTCCAAGGGATGAGTGGGTGGCTCAGAAATCTCTAGGGAGTCACATCCCCCCCCGAACAACCTCTTTCTGTTTTGTTTCTTTTTTCCAGGTGGATCTCCTGAGGTCTTTCGTATTCCGTAACTCCAAGCAGACGTACACTGGGATCCCCATCATTGCAGCCAACATGGACACCGTGGGGACCTTTGAAATGGCGAAGGTTCTGGGCAAGGTGGGGTGGCTGCGCTCAGGAAATCCTGAATTCATGTGGAGTTTTTTCTTTTTTTCTGCTGGCGACTGTTCTTGGCCATCCATGGCCCTGTGTTCAGCTTACTGGCTCCATGTAGATAGGCCTGATTGGAGCCCCTGATCTCCTCTTCTGCAGCCGAGCAGCTGCCAGAGGGGTGGATGTGAGGCGATCGGCTGTCTGACCTCCCGTCTGATCTGAACCTGGCCGTTAGTTGCCCTGCCCTTCCTATTTATTTATTTCTTCTCTATCTCAAGAGTGTGTCTTTTTTCTTCTCTCGTCTCCTCAGTTCTCTCTCTTCACCGCCATCCACAAACACTATAGCCTGGATGAGTGGAAGGAATTTGCAGCTCAGAATCCAGATTGTCTCCAGGTGAGTGGCCCTTATCATCGTCACTTTTCCTTAGGCCCATGAAGAAGTTTTGCAGATTGCCCCAATCTTCTTGAAACAGGCTCATTTAATATGTGTCCAGATAGCTTGCTTAACCGTGTGTTCATCTCAGTGAAAAGTCTTATCTTAGTGTGAGTGTTCGTTCATTTGGTCCTTCCTTCCTTCCATCTGTCCATCCATCTGTCCGTCTGTCGAACCCTGCTTTTCTCCTTAAGATGACCCAAGGTGGCTTACATCGATGAAAAACAGTATTTAAAGCTAACCACAGTGAGCATGAAAATACAAAAAAAAAAGGATTTAAACAAAAACATAGGTAACACCAAAACAAAACAGTAAAGTACAACAGTCCATTTAAAAAAAAAAACCCACTCAGAAAAGATGGGGGCTATCGCTTGGAAAAAAATGTCTCAGTTGAAAACCCATGTCTTTTCCCCTTCGGCACATGGGGGGAGGGGAGCAGCAAGCATAGGTTAGACGGCTTGAGCAAAAAGAGATGCTCAGCTCACCCAGTGCTTTAAAAAAATCAGTGCAACATTTCAGCTGTTACAGAGGATGGGTAAAAAGATATTATGACGTCTCCTATTTTTGCACACAAGAACCACACGCCATTGCCCCAGCGAGTGAGCGAGAAGCAGCTGCTGAGTCTTCCTCGGGGCGGCCCCATGGGGGGTATCCCTTGGCCATGGATGGCTAGCGTCCCGTCTCGTC